CCCCGACAAATCTCTTGTTTGAGGGATTCCAATCCACGCCCGCCCTACCGCTCTCATCACTGCCCTGCCTTCCGCCTGCCTTCCGCCCCCAACTCCCCCTCCAACCCTCTCACCAGAGCTGGTCAAATGAGTCAGGCCCCCCTTTCCGCCAGCCGCCCCCACCCTCTCCCACTCCCACTCCCTAACCCTCCCACCAACCCTCCCCAGCCCTCATCATTACCCCCTCCCACCATCGTGCACCATCCGACCGCCCCCCCGCTCTCACCGCTCTCATCGCTTCTTCATCTCTATGCCCCCCAGTCCACCCCTGCCTTCCGCCCCCAACTCCCTAATCCGACACCAACCCTCTACCGTCACCCCCCACACCCCCCACCCCCGCCCACCCCTTTCCACCCCCACCCACCCCCACCCCCCCCGCCCCCGCCCCCCCCGCCTGCCCGCGCTCCACCCTGCCTTCCGCCCCAATGCGACTGTCTTGGGTCTGGGGTCGGCGGCACTGGCGGTAGCCATTAAATCGGGCAGCGCGAGGTCCCCAAAGGACCGAGCAAATGCGGACCTTTTAGCCCGGGTCGTCCCGGGAATAGCCTTGCTGGCCTCTGGCCTTCTGCGAAGCAGAATTAGGCCGGACGCCAGTGCCGCCGACCCCCGCGTGCCGCCGGTGAACGGTTTTTTTTTCGTGGTTTTTTGCGTCGCCACGGAGGCCCCCAGAGGGCGCGCATCATGAGCATCAGCGGGTCCAGCCCGGGACCCCCAGGCGCGCATCAGGAGCATCAGCGGCTCCCGGGACGGGACCCCGGAGGCGCATCAGGAGCATGATGCCCCCCAAAGGGCGGGCATAAGCGACGTGTCTAAGCCCGGGGCTAGGAAAAAGGGAGTTTAGGGGCCTTTAGAAACGTTAAGGGAGTCTAGGAGCCTCAAACGCTTAGAGATTTGAAGGGAGTTTAGGGGCCTGAAAATGCTTAGAAACTTAACGCTTAGAGATTTTAAGGGAGCTCAACATGCTTAGAAACGCGTGCGCTGCCCGCCCATGGGCGCAGCCCCTTAAAATAATAATAAACAAGCACAGGACACCCAACACACTCTGAGCCTACCTGCGCCTTAGTAGCCCTGAACCTGCTTGGGGGGGCCTTCTCCTTCTTCTTGGCCTGGCAGCTGAGTCTCTCAACAACTCCGAAGCGGATGCCCCCAACCAGGGTTTAGGGTTTGGGGTTTAGGGCTTAGGGTTCAGGGTTTAGGGTTTAGGGTTCAGGGTTTAGGGTTTAGGGCTAATCAACCTTGATGCCTAGTAAGGACTGTTAGTATAAGGGGGGACATCCCAAGGTTTGCCTGTAAAGATCCGCCTGTATTTGTTGCTCAGAAATCAGCTGACAGATGTGTTTAGGATCTGACAGCTGAACCAAGACACTTCCCTAGCTACCTTAAATGCCCCCCAAAATGGCCCTAATCCTGCCTTTTGTCTGGCACTGTTTTTGAGGAGGGGAGCAAGGCCTGGAACCCAGGATATACTTGTACACCTCCTAGGAACCTGAGATTACAAAAATGATGCAATGATGCAACAGACCTGTGAGCCTCGCGCGAATGATCCCCCGCCACCCCCCCACGCCCCCCCACCCCCCACCCCCCGCCCCCCGCGAAGGAATCGAATCCGCAGCTGGCTGGCTCAAAAGATGCAGGACTGTATGCCATGAGCTTGGAAACTGGGTCTGCAGGGCGACAATGAGTACTAAGAGGCTACACTTTCCCAAGCAGCTTGTCAACACTACAGGGTTGCAATGATACAGCTACTGGTAGGTTGCTCTGAGCACGGTCGTTTTGGGCAAAACATGCGCTCCCATCTAGGCACGGGCTTGACTACGCGGTTCTTGGTTCTGGGGTCGCGGTTTCCACCGTGAAATTCGCGGTTGTGGTGTCGGGCATGTGACAAATCGATGTGATCCGTCGTGGTGGCCGCTGGCAGTAGGGGCTAGAAGGGTTTGGCGGAGGAGTGTGCCGCGACGCGACCTGTGGTGGAGCGGTTGCTGGGTCACCTATGCTTCACAAGGCTCACCCAAACTGAATCCGATCTACCGTCAATTGTAGTTGTAAGTTATCGGTAGTAATATGTGGCACATCGGTGCTCACATTTCAGACTTTAAATCACCGTGGCAATACATGCCACGGCTTAGGGTAGTCCGCGGTACTCACATGCTACAGCTCACGGTGACGAATCCAAAGTGTTGGCCTCCTCCCAGCAAGGCTTCATTGCTTGGGGTTTGGGTTGGGGGTCTGGCCTTTTGGAATTCTCTGCTCTTGACGATGGGTCTGTGCCGCGGAGATGTACACTCACGGCAGGGCACGCAGTGAAACGAGGGCAGGAGTAGGTGAAGGGAGCTTGGGCCAACTTTCTAGCAAAGATTCTGAACCAGTTCGCAGATGTTTTGCGGGCTAACCGCTGGAAGCCTGCTCCCTTTCCCAGCTCGTGTTTTACGATCTTTGGCACAATTGGTGCACGTCTCCAAACTCCAGACTCGCAGATATTCCCAGAGTGGAAGCCCGAGTCTAAGACCCTCATGCAACAAACCTGACAGGTCAGAGTCTTTCCTGCTACGGGCCGAGGCCCGGTGCTTTCATAACAACTCTTCCCACTATATCCTCCATCTCAGGCTCTACAGAGGGTCAAAGTGCAACCCTAAGGCTTTCCACTCTGGAGTGCCTGCGACCGGTAGTAGGACCCATATGCAACCAAGCAGTGCACGAAGAAGGCAGCGCCCCAGCTGAGGGCAGACTTGCCACTTTGGCTCCCAAGGAGCCTGAGCTTCAGTGAGCTTCGGACATGTAGCTTTCCATCGCTTCGACGTTTTTGAGCTTCTGGCGCTGTTTAAAACATGGAGTTAGGGAGCTTTTTAGGGTTCGGGAGCTCACATGCTGTCTTAGGAGCAATTCGGCTGAAACAATGCAAGCAGCAACCTTCCTGAATTCAGGAGCACAATCTCCAAACACATAGTCTAGGGGTCGGGAAAATCCCTAATCATATTCCCTTATGGTCCCTTGTAATTATGCGATAATAACCCCCAAAACCCTAATTCTTAAGGCCCCTATGGCAACCCATATATTGATTGAGTTGGGACTTGGCTTCCTACAGCGAGACAAGGCGGACACAAACTTCACGGGCATGGATGAGTACGACCTCAAACACATGCCGCCCATCCTTTGCTACGCCACGCCGCGGCACGATTAAAGATGAAGCGACATTGCTGCAACGCTGCAACGAATGTGTACTTTCAAACACAACAACGGGACGGCTCGAGCCTTCCATTGACTGCTTCGAGACCAAACAAATCCTGTTGGCAAAAGGAAATCCAGGACCCAGAAGGCACGCAGAAAAACACATGCAATGCGCATGGAATCGTTGAGCAGGGTACAGCTTGAGGCTGATCCTTGACACCCCCCAGCCCCCCGCGCAGTTTCTGATGCGACCGGTTTTGCTGACTTGGCTCTGATTCGTGCTGGTTTCTGATTCGCAGCTGCTGGTTTCTGATTTGTTCACGTATAACCTGTCGGTCTTATGGCTGTGCCATGGCATGCGAATATGACCCTGACACACGATGATACACACCTGGCCTTGGCACTGCACGCGCTGTGAATACTTATGTCTCTTTTGAAAGTGCTGCATCGCGATGGCCGGCAAGACCCTCAAAGCACGTGTCCTCTAGGAACTAGGAACATGCACTGCAATTGGCGAACCAGCACCGAGAAAGGGGCCGTTTGGGCGTTCAAAATTACAGGCACAAGATTAAGCTTTTCTGGTGCCCTAGTTGACATGCCGTTTCAGATCACATCCTTTGGCTCAGTAAGAACGTGAAGGCCGAAACACAACTAAAGCCCAGGTGACTTGGCAAGGAGGAGCAAGCCCACGAACCGCACCAGTGTCCTCAGCTACATGTTCTCAATCCAGCAATCCAAGCACAGGTTAACAACACTCTCTTAGGCTTTCGTAGGCTTTCAATCTTTAGGCCAATGGGTTCCGCTCAAGGGCCCAAAGCACTCGAAAACCTACTTCTATCAGATAACACCGACAAACCTTGAGCACCCGGCACATGATGCACAACCTCATATGCGAAGACTCCGAATCCCGGCAGCCCGATACCCAGACGCCACTCCAACAGACTGCAAACAACTCAAACTTCAGACGAGCTTCTGGCTCAGTCCTGCACGCTTGCGGCCTCGACTCGGGAGGCGCGGAGAAATCTGCGAAATGTCGGAGTTTGCAAGGGCCTGGTTTTCGCCCTTTGAAGCCTTCTAAAAGGAATGAGGAAGGCTTGCGAGGTCTGCACTCTAACTACAGAGAGCCTCTGATTCTCACAAAGGCACAAAGCACCTGTCCTGAACTCCGAACCTTCGTGCGATCGAGGCGCGCAGCGCACCTCGTGGCTCTGCAGGTGGTAACTCGCTCTCCTCGCTCTCCTCGCTGAGGTGGGCAGGCAGCGCACCTGGAAAATTGAGAGGCAGGAATTCAGTCCCGCACTCAACAAGCCATGACTGACCGTCTGCACTATTCTTTTGTTGGAAGTTTCAACGTGGTGCCAAGGGATCCCGAAAACCCCCGGAATACTTTCTGGAGTCTTCTCGCTGGTGACGTTTTGATGCGCTTGGAAGGGGACTCCACATAAAAAGGCCCCACATGAGGAAGACTCAATGGGCAGGGCGGTCTTAGGGGTTGCTTGGGGCTCCCCCACACTTGACTCCCACCTAACTTGCGATTCCTGAAATCACCTCGAACTTCCCCTTAACTTTAGACCTTAAACCGTAAACCCTACATTCAACTCCTAGAAGAACTCAACAACTGCTTCCACTGTCCACTATGTCAAGGTCCGCTTGCTGGTCCAAACTTGGCCCTGTAGGCAGCTTCTGGATCAGCCTCTTTTTGGCCTTTGCGGCTTCAAGTTTTCGGGTTTCTTTGGGATAGCGCGAGCACATGCGCAAACTTGTACCATTGGCCTTTGATGGCAAATCCAACCACAAGTAAGGGGACTCCATACATGGGGGCTTACGAATATAGGGGTACCTTAGGGGTGCTTTTGATAAGGGGATCCTATGATTTGGGAGTCTATATTAGGGCCCCTTATTTCATAAACCCCTACATGGCGCCCGCAAACTCCACTCCAGGGTCGGTCTCCGCGGCCGAGTCCACCAGACTCCGGTGTTTTGGCAAAGTCGTGTTCTGGGCATGCTCGCAAATGGCGTGAACGCTTGTGACAAACGCTGCAAATACCATAGATTTGGGCATGTTTAGGGTTTAGAGCACTGCCGTGGGCTTTGGTCGTTTGTTTGGGAAACCCCGCATGTTGACCCCCCGCCAACACCCCCCCCCCCCGGACCAGCCGAACAACAGGAAAGGTGCAGAAAACACCCTGGCAATCTAGGGCCCGTGGCCCAACTCCTGCTTCACAGCCTCTAGCCCTGCAACCGGGAACCTGGAAAGACCAGCGCCGGCGCTTCTTTGAGCAGCGGCGGGTCGGGCCAGTCAAACTGGATGCTGGTCGCGACGACCTGGGCTTACAAGGGTATTGGGAAGGTTGGGGCTTTCAGTTGGGAAGGGCTTCATGTAAGGGTTTGCTTAAGACTTCGATTAAGGGTTGAGGGTTGCCATCGACGTAGAAGTAGGGAGTCGCACAGAGTGGCACATAGTCCTGCAACCGTTTGGGGAGGCCCTGTTGCGCCTCAAGCCCTCCAAAACTGACTTGGACATGGCTTGTGGCAAACATCGCGGAAAACCCAAGATCCTAAACTCAGGAGCCCTAAACCGTAGCTCTCTCCATCTCTCTCTTTCAAATCAAGCTTCCGAGCTTATTCAAGGCAATTGCGCGGGACACACGCAATCGGCCCACATGAAAACACGGTGAAGCATCAAGCATCATCAAGCCCTGATTCCCTGAAGCCTTTGGGCCCTCTTTTCTTTCCCATGGACGTCCAGCGAGTCCAGTGAGTCCAGTGAGCCCAGCGGCAAGAGAGATCAGCAGGCATTGCGCTACCAGCGCAGTGATGGGATTCTGGCCTCCGGAGGTCCACCGGCATTAGAGTCTTTAGAGGTCTTTGGAGTGCGAGAGAGTTGGGGCCCCCGTAGCTCAGCTGGGGTTTTGCGAAGTCCGCAGGCTCAAACCGCAAAGCTGCAGATGTGAATGGCCCCAAGGCACTGCCGTGCGAAACGAAGCAACAAAACCGAAGCCCTGCAGCCCAACACAACCTGCAAAACCATCTGGAACCCTTAGGGCTTACAGTTTCGACTCTCGGGAGAAGGGCTTTGAGGCCGTGGGGTCTTCAATTATGCAGCTTCCCGAAATGTGGACTTTGACATGCTTCATGCAGCACCCAGAAGAAGCCCCGAAGGAACAGACCCTGACGCAGCAGATGGGGCTGGGGCTTGTGATCGCCATGGCGAGAAGGATCGCTTGAGCGATGTAGGACTTTGCCTGCGGGGGGGGGGGGGGGGGGAACCTAAACCCTAAACCCTAACCCTAAACCCTAAACCCCAAACCCTAAACCCTTCAGAACCGTTTGAACACCCGAAAAAAGCATGTGCTGTGCCACCAGTGCTGCCAGGTTCGACCGCGCTTCGACGCGGAGGCCTGCCGGGAACCGTCCGCAGCTTCTCCTACAGTAGTACTTAGAACTTGGGGGACTTTTGAAGGTCTGAAATCCGCACTCAATGTACAATAATGTACAAATATGTACAAAAATGTACTATAATGTACTATAACGTACTATAACGTACTATAATGTACTACAATGTACTATAATATACAAGTATATACCAGCAACCAAACATGATGCAACAATCTCTCTCCCCAACGTGCGAAGGCCTGCAGGAACCGCACGGGGGGAGGGGAGAGAACAGATGGTGGAGGTGGCGACCATGTGCACTGCCAGCCCAAGCCACCACCCCAGTGCTGCCCGACTTCTGAGAGCCTGGCCGGGCTTTTGGGAACATAGAGAGACAAAGGTGTTCAGCAAAATATTGGCCATGGCCTTCAAAGTCACGGCCATGGCCTTCAAACAAACACTAGTGTAGTGAAGCTGTGAAACACACGTCAGGAATACTGCAGAGCATTTTTTAACTCTCCTGTTTCAAGACTGGCCTGGAAGCCCAGTGCAGTGACGAGGAGGAGCAGGTTGTTCACCGAGCCAACCGCTCCTACACTGGCTCCTGGCCACTTCTTGGGGAGCTCGGCCTGCTTGGCCTGTCGCCTCACCGGCCTCGGCCTGTCAGTAGATGCCCCCATGGCTGGCATGTGCCAGAGCCGTGTGCCAACCACGAAAGCGCGCTGGCGTGGGGCTGGGACGCCCGCAAGAAGTGCCAGCCATAACAGCTTCCTGCTTCGGAAAGCGCCCATCCCAAACCTACATGCCACGCATGCAAACTGCAACTTGAAAAGCCTCATCAGGAATCTGTGACCAACATGCATGTCCCGGCTACTGGATCCTGATTTCGAGTCTGTGTAATATCAGCTGCTTGTCAATGAGTCCATTTGACACCTAATGCCTTGACAGCACACGGCTGCAACTGCAGGAGCTCCAACAGTCGGACATGTGAAAGAGAAAGCGGCCACACACTGGCAAATTGCTTGCATGTCTCATAAAACCAGCTGCACCCTAAAATTTGCCCTAAACCTCAAAACCTTGAACATCGAATTAATTGGGGCTCGGGTTGAGGTTTTCTGAGAAATCTCGAGAGCCTCTTAGAGCCCTCATCCTGAACTCTTCACAATCCCTACGCAAAGCCTGCTCAGCTGCAACCCTCACTGCCTTCTTCACGTTGGCTGCCTCGTCTGCGTCCACGCGGCTGACAACGCCGCTGTCCATTAACTTCTTGGCAGCATCCTCTCCAAACTCAAAGGCATACTTGGGTGGATAAAATTTGGTTTTCCAGAGATAGAATATGGTTGGAGGTTTGGTGTGGTTTGAGGTTTGGGTGGGTACGGGGAGGCCAAGCATTTCGATGCCCTCTGGGCGAGGTGTATTTTCGAGGGATTGGATTCCCGACAATCATTTTGTGGCTTGTGTTGAGCGCAGATTCCTGCCAGGCTGGACTGGGGGAAATCCCACATAAGCCACGAAATGTTGACAAGTGAGCCTCAGGACCAAGCAAAACACAGGGCCAGGACCAGGGCGCCAGGAGACCGTTCCCCCCCCCCCCCATCCCCCCCCCCCCCGCAAAAAAAAAACCTAGCAAAAAGCAAAATAGTCCCACCCTGTCCCCAAAGTGCATACCTGCAGGGCATACGCATGCTAGAAGTTGCAATAAGGAAAGCAGATTCGCCTTGTCTTGCTTCATAATACAACAAGCTCAAATCCAGGGTCTTATTTGGAACCCTCATATCTGTCCTCGTTCCTGTCCTATCTCCTTCATGTCCTCCTATGTCGCAGAGTGGTAATCTAGAGCGCAGTGTTGGCGTCGTCTGTGGCGGGCACAGTTCTTCTTCAAACCTAACAACCCCACTGAGGGTGTAAAAACAGCATGCCCTCCGCGTTGGGTTCTCAGGCCAGCTCGCGCCTTGAAGCAGGGGATGACCTCAGCAAGCACGCGAAACAACGTAAAACTATAAGTGCGCACATCTTCACTCTGGATATGGAAATACGGAAGCACGTTGTGGCTTCAAGCCTGCGTTGGTAGTGATTTGGGGTGGTGTTCTCCTTCTGCCACTGTTTTTGCTGCCCATCCTAGAAAGCTGTGCCTCTGAATTCTAGCCTGTCTTCCAACGACCAAGCCAAACGTGATGGACATTCTACAAGACGTCGTATCGGCAACTACAACTTGGTTTGTTCGGGTCATGAGGTAAGGGAAGGGAGGAGGAAGGGGGAAGGGGGAGGGAAGGGGGAGGGAAGGGGGAGGGAAGGGGGAGGGAAGGGGAGGGAAGGGAGGGAAAGGGGGAGAAGGGAGGGAAGGGAGGGGGAGGAGGCTTTTCTGGTGTGTCGGGCTTGTGGAGCGTGAAGTTATGGCTGCCGGTGGTTAGGCAAAGCCTGGGTTTGAGGCTAACCACGTGTGTTGGTGTTGAGGCTTGGCGGCCTTACTTGAGCCTAGAAGTCACATGGTCACATGAAGGAGGTGACAATCACGAAAAAGAGCTGTTGCAATTTTGAACACTGGCCCCACATGAGCTCTTATACAAACCGGCTCCGCCACGCAAAGAACCCCCTTTACTGAACAACAGCTTCTCCTCAAGCAGCCAGGCGCCCCGCTCGCGTCAGGGGGCTCTCTTCGACGTCTTGTCGAATGATAAATCCCCGCTGTCTCCCTCAGAGATTTGGTTTCTGGGGTGAGGAGGCAAGACAGGGCAGGTGTGAAGGCCTTGGGCTTACCTGCCTTAAGTTCACAGTTGAAAGACAGATCCTCAGCTTCCGCATTGGTGGACCCTCCCCCCCCCCCCCCCACAATGAGGCCCGACCTGCATTCTTGTCCTTGTTGCGCTTGGAGCGCCCGCCAGCGGCCCCTTCCTCGGAGAACGGGGCTTTATTGTGCAGGACGCAGGAATTCGATCGGGGTTTCAAAGTTTAACTTTTGCAACTTGTAGGCCGTCCTTGAACACACAGAAATAGGTCGAGATTTGGGAGGTTTTTCAACCAGGCGAGGCTTCTAAACTGCACATGTGTTGGGGTAGCAATGGGTGGAAACGCACGGCAAATGTCAGAAGTACATGCAAGTGTAGCACAGCTGTCAATCCCGTCAAGCTGCGGTCACCACTTTCATGTTTGGGTTAGATTTGCCCCATCTCCTTTCCCGGACTTGCAGTTAACCGAACAGTTGACCCAGGGTCTGTGACTTTTGGTGGCTTTTGGCTTTCGGACTCTACTCTAAACCCTAAACCCTGAGCCCTGAACCCCTAAACGCTTGCTCAGCCCTGCACATCTTCGCACATGGCCTCCTGATAAACAGCCTTTTTGGAGGAGACCGCCAGATACCTTTTGGGGTTTGGGGTTTAGGGCTTAGGGCTTAGGGCATAGGGCTTAGGGTATAGGGTTTAGGTGCCTTCCCATACACAGATCCTTAAACTCGACAAGCCCAAACCGCTGATCCCCAAACCCAGATGTCGAAATACAAACCCAGATAAGCCCTAAACTGGCTCCGGAATTTCTCAAGAGCGGAAGACATCTCGACATGAACGCGTGTTCGAAAGGCTACAAGTTGTAACTAGACAACTGCTGCAGTCCAACATAGTCCAACTAACTAGAGGCATCAAAATAGACGTGCCACGATTCGGCATCCAAAGTCCCCAGAACAAATCCTGCATCCGTACCAAGTGTTGTTCAACCCTGAAATTCCTCGAGCACCCGGAGCCTCCAATCCTACACCCGCAGCCCTTACAGCGGAAACTGTGTAAGCATTTCCAAGATGCTAGGCTCAGGCTCTCAAAAAAAAGGACACTTGAAGCTCTGAGCCCTCACGCCCTGAACCCTGAACCCTAAACCCTAAACCCTAAACCGTAAACCCTTAACCCTAAGCATGCCCAACACTGCAGCGCACGTCAAGTGCTCCAGCGGAAGCGGGGTGTCCTTGCATGGAAGCATGCGTGACGAAACTCTTCAGGTTGCAAGGACATGACTTAGGGTTTAGGGTTTAGGGTTTAGGGTTTAGGGTTTAGGGTTTTGGGTTTTTGGGTTTAGGGTTTAGGGTTTAGGGTTTAGGGTTTAGGGTTCAGGGTTCAGGGTTTAGGGTTTAGGGTTTAGGGTTTAGGGTTTAGGGTTTAGGGTTTAGGGTTTAGGGTTCAGGGTTCAGGGTTTAGGGTTTAGGGTTTAGGGTTTAGGGTTTAGGGTTTAGGGTTTAGGGTTTAGGTACTGAAATTGGGGGCTTGCGATCATAGCTTCTGATAAGGGACCCCGAAGATCGAGCCCCAAATAGTAGGATCCCCTTGTCATAAGGACCCCAACAAGGCACCCCTGAAATCGTAAACCCCCAAAGACCTGACATGCCCGGACCTCCAAGGCTGCCGGGTGTGTGTTTTCTGTACTCTGGGTTTAGGGCCTCATCATGTCTCACTTGGCAAGCTACTTAAACGGCACTTGTTGGGCCAACCTGGGCACCACATCTGACGATACAGACACCCTGCAACTCCTGGGGCTACCAGACTACTCAGATACGAGATGTTGAGGTGCGCATATGTACACGGGAGGGCAAGCAACTCTCCAAAGAAGCTGGGGCCCAGGCCGACACTACCACTGTATGGACCTGGGGCACGACGGATGTCAGTCGTAGAGCTTAGTGTGTTGGGGTTTTCGCTGCTGATGCCCGCAGCTTCAGCAATGAAGGAGGATGATTGGAACACAAATCGCGGCAAGGCGTAGTTGCGAAAGCAGGCAACCACTGCTTCCCGCTGTGGATCCCGGCGCAGGCCCCTGAAAGCAACTTCCCAGACCATTGTAGATCAACCAACACCTATGTACTGAAGAAGAGCATTACAAGGAAGGATGAGGTGCTTTGGAAGAGATGCGAGGCTTACACGTTTGGGAGAAGTCTATGGGCTTGAGACGGACTGTGCGACGCATCTTTCAGAGACTTGAGGCTTCTGAGCCATTGGCGGTCGAGTCTCGGTTGATCCAAATCTGCTCTCCGTCCTCAAGACCACGATGGGTGGGGTGGAGTTTTGAATCCTAGGGCTTTCGATTCGGGGCTTTCGATTAGGGGCTGAGATGGGATGGTGGTCTCTCGCAAACTATTTCGTGGACATCCTGAGTGATAACGGTGTTGCTTCGGGGCTTGGAGCTCGAGGATTCAACATGCATCATAATTTCTTGGTGTTGGGATTTACGCCCGCTCCGTGAATGTCCAGGATCCTGATTCAACCTCGAACTTAAGGACCGCCTGGGAACCCCGCCCCGACAACCCAGGTTTCAATAGAGGGTTCAAAGACCCCGAGTCCCAAAGTCTCGAAAGCTAAAAGCAAGTAACTCCACTGTTCACCCGCGCACTCCCAAAAAGCAAGCTGAGCCTGCCTCGCCCACATACCAACTCATCAGAGGCCTTCTGCGCCTGTCGGGGGCACAGAGCGACTTTTGGCTTCGGCATCTCGGAACTTGGGCGCTACACTGAACTTCGGGAACTTGGCGTTGGGATGTCTAGGGAGACCTCTGAGACCGGCATCTGCAACCGCAGAGTCCCTGCTCTGCAACGCACCGACAGAACTCTTCGAGGAATTGCTCTTAAGGAGCTTTGCCCCTGAACCCTAAACCCTAAACCCTAAACCCTAAACCGCGCATCCTGCGGCAACCCTGCGGCAACTCTGCGGCAACCCTAGGACTCCATGGTCTCTTCCACGCCTTCGCGCGGCGCAGGTCCAGGCACATCAAAGTGTGTTGTTGATAAGAGCAACTAATGTCGTGCGATACTGTTGTTTCAGTTGCTTTGTTGCTATGTGCTGCTGCATACTGTTTCATGCTGCTTCTACTGATTCTACTGATCCTGTGCCGACTGACAGGCAAGTCGTGGCAATGATGACTGCGATCTATGGGCAGCACCTATGGCTCACAGGCTCTCATCTGGCTCATCTGTCATCCGTGTAAAGAGCTGGAGCTACCAGGCAGCTGAGGAGCAAGTTTAGGCAGCAAGTGCTGAGGCCAGGAAGTTCTGGGCAACAATGGGTGTTTTCGGGGAGTACGCCAAACCACTGCTCACTACGAGCTCATCAACAACAGCATCGGGAAACACTGGATCCTTTCAACATCCAGTGCATCGTCCTTGGAGCTGGTCTTCAGGACTTACCCCAATCGGAATCGATTGGGCACCGCAAGCATGATGAAAAGTGCGTTGCAAGCCTGCGTTGCACCACGTGTACGGTGTTTCAAGCAGCTACCAGTACATGCCAGGCTGTTGCTTCGGGATGCTTTCAACGAGTCAACACGAAGATTGCAGAGTGCTGCGCCGCTTTTTTCCCACGAGGAGCATGGACCTAGGATCAAGAGATGGGATCCGCATAAGAAGCATGATGCGTCGCGCGCTGCAACATAGACGAGCCAGCCAAGATTGAGTTAGAATGTAGGATCTTGGGGGCCTCTACAACTAGCTGAATCCAAACATGTCCAGCAGAGCTTCGGTAAACCCTGAGCCCTTGTGGGACTGCGACGCTGAACACCAGAGCCCTAAACACGACAAACTCAAGACCCAAACTCGAAATCCTCAAATGCTCAATGTCCATCAATGTCCACCAATGTCCTTGATGCCAGAAATCAACAGAGAAGTGCCGATCTCGTCTTCATGGGCCCGGCGGCCGTCTTTAAACCCGCCGGCTCGGGGAGCTCAGAAAGGTATCGTAGGGAGCCATCGGGAGGGCAGTGCAGCGCTTCTGGAGAAGCTAGCCGCGCATGCCTTTCATGGGCTCCCTACGCTCGTGTAAAACTTCACCTGCGGACTAAGCAGCTCAGACACGTCCGAAGAGCAGAAACAACTTGAGAGTTTCAACTGGCCGCTCAGGGATGTTCACGGAGGCTTGGTTCGAAGGGCAGGTCCAGGGTCACAGAAATTCGATCGGTGGCTTAGGATCCTTGAGGCCTCGAGGCCCCGTGCCCTATCCCTGCAAGGGTTAGGGCCGTGGGGGGGAGCAGAAAGCCTTGTACTGTGGCTGCCGTGCTGCTGCTGTGTGGGACATCTAAAAAAGGTACGGAGCTCATCTATGCCCTCGGACATCTCGGACTGCCTCCCAGGATGTGTGCCGCAAGCTCAGCGGGCTGAGCATGGGCATCCCAGCTTCTGAAGGCTCGGCAGCAGCCATAAGCTCTTGAAAAAGAAAAAGCCTCGTACCAACTCCTCACAGGTCATGGAAACCGAGCTTCAACGTCGCCCCGAATCCCGGAGGCCGATGCCCTAACTCTCAACTGCCCGAAGCCCCCTCAAGCCGGCGCACGCTGCGCACTAAAGCTGCGCAAGCCTCCAGGTCTGTACACACCTCTCACCGCGGCCCGAGCTAAGATCTCTCCACACCTCCCCCCCCCTTCACTGGGAATTTCGCAACTGGCAGAGGTTCATAAACGGCAATTGGGGCAGCAAGACCTAGAGCCGGGGGAAAAGAGGAGTTCGCAGTCTGCTTATCGATGTAAAGACCTCCCTCGCACGCTCACGCACTCCTCTCCTTCTTCTGCAGAAAAACGTTTTCGCCCCGCCCATACTTCTAACCCTCCCCTTGCCAGGAAGGACTGGCTGTGTAAGCTCAGCAGGAACAGCAGGTTCTAGGTGTGGATTTGCAAATTACTGGGACTCCAAGAATTGACTGGTCTACACCTTGTGTTTCGCAGCTGACATTCTCTCCTCTCCAACAGTCGCGGCCTCCCCCAATCCTCACAGCACCCAGTACCGTACCCTCCAGCATCCTTGAGGAGGTGGAGGAGGAGCCCCTGGAACTAGCCAGAGCAAAGCAGCAGTTGGTGACATATTTCCCACAGGCCTATACAGAATCGGCTTCTCTTTCTGGTTTTCGCTCTCTTTCTCTCCTTCTCTCGTTCTCTCCTTCTCTCTTTCCATCTTTCTCAATTTCTCACAAAGCTTCTCACTCTCACTCTCAATTCTGTTCTATGGAGGGCCCCTCAGACACGTCAGCCCTTACCCTGAACCAAACCCTACAAAGAATGAACTTGCCTCAAGCTGCTCCAAATCCTGGGGGTCGATGGGGGCGCTGGGGCCGCTGAGTTTGGGCTACGGTTACGCAGCGCACGAGCCGTGCCCGCGGGGCAGAGGATCGCCTTGATTCGGTGCACGAGCACTCAACGAATGCTTCCAAGGCCAGGCCTTCCCCCCTCGGGGAGATGCACGATTTTTTGTTTTTTGCGTTGCTTTTCAACAACTAACTGCTGGTGAGAAACCGACAACACTAAACCCAATTCCGGCTTCGATCGGCAAATAGGGCTTAGGGTTCAAGGCACGGAGTTTGTGGCTGGTGCATGTGCGCGTCCCTTTCTTCATCCTGGCCAGCTGAGAATCTGGGATTCCTGCTCCCGCTCACTTGCCCTGCGGTGCGTGCGAGGTTCGTTCGACTTTTCCCCAAGCCTTCAGCAAAGCTGCGAGTTGCAAGTCGAGTCTCTTAAGGGTTACTGGAAGGATGTGCCTTCAGGGCAGTACACAAATTACATGCCAATGTGCCGACGTTCGAAAGCTCAATCCCATGGCTCATTCAGAGAAGTTGGGGTTTGTACGGTCAAGTCCCGTTGTCAGAACTTAGAACTTTGGAATCAGGGTCCAAGCGGCCTCAAGCGACCGCTCAAAGCGCATAAATGTTCCGCATTCCTTATGTTCCTTGTGCGCAGACCCAGACCGGACCGAAAGCCGTGAACTTCACAACGAGGACCCTTCTTAGCGTTAGACCGACCCAGTGCCCTAACCTCCCCGAAGCCCCACACTCCAATTTTTGAACCTGCACTCTCTTTACAGTACACAAGGAGCCCCACATGATCCTCATAAGGCACCGGGCAGGCTGTCTTTCCACACCATCGAGGCGCAGCTTCATGCACCTCAAGAGGTTGCAATGTTCCCCCTTATACTAACAGTCCGTAGTAGGGATGATCATAGACAAGGGGGACATGCGAAAGTGGGGGGCCTGTCTCTGTTTACGGAAGGCTCAAGGCTCAAGCTGATGCTACGTTTAGGGGTCAGATTGGGTGCCGGGCTTTTCGAGGCTCTGCTGCAGCTTGTCCACCTTCTCCGTGTCTGCAACGTTGGAGAACCAGACCTCCACTTTCAGAGAGAGGCCAAAGGGCACCAGCCAACCAAAGAAGAGGGGAAGGAAGGCAGATGAGGAAGCAAACCTCAAAAATGCTTGAGCAACAGGTTTTTGAGTAGTTTGGACAGAAACGTTGAAAGGCGTGAGGCCCTCGAGGTGTTTTTCGCACTCTTGTATGCCGATGCCGCTGGGCTTTTCTCCGGCGTGGACCACACCGGTGAGCCGAGCAGCAACAAAGCAGTCCGAAGCCCGTACTCGCCTCGATGCGGAGGTGTGGCTGTCTCTTGTTCCCCAACTTATCGACCAGGCGCAAGCCCGTCACAATGTCCGGCCTGAGGGTTTAGGCTGCGGGTTGTGGGCTCAAGGCCTTGGAAGATCCCCTTTGCAAGGCTCTCTAAGAGTATACCACGAGCTCCAAGAAAACTTGGCATTTAAGGGCGGGTTCAGTCCTGGTGAGACTGGATATTGAAGGCTTCTAGAACGTGGACTTGCCGGTGCTGTCAACGTCCTCCGGGTTGTGGAGTTCGGGTCTACTGGCTCCATGCGAGACCAGAAACCCCAAACGAGCCAAGATCACAAGCTGCAACGGCCAAATCATCAAATCTTTAAGCAGATGACTGGCTCAACAGCAAACCCGACTGGATCAACGCAGATGCTTGCGGCTTGGTGTCTAGGTGCTTCTGCTCTACATTGCATGGTTCTCTTGTCTGATGCGGTGACCGGCACAAGGAATTGAATGCTTGGAAGGGTGCTCAATAATCGTCCACAGCATGTCTAGAAAGTGAGACAACCTGCACCTATCGGCTAAGGCGATGTCTCAACGAACCCTCCGATCACGCCGAGGACAATGTTGTTCCAGTACCTTCATGGGGTTTTCTAGTGTATCTGCTCGGAATGAAGTGCACTTGAACCGTCAGCACCATATTGGACCTGGATGATGCAAGGAATAACATATCCCCATGAAACGGACAAAAACTTATCTACTTCTATCATCCCCACCCTGCGGCTAAGGCCAACCGGTGGGGGAGCCCATCCTGCCGGTTTCGGGTCCAGGACATGAAGGATACTTCGCCTCAGGCTTCCGTCGCGGGACTCTCCGCAGAATTCTCTGGAGTCCTCCAGAGAGAGACTCCTGGGGATGGGCACGGATGGGAGCTGGGGGGTCGCGGGACTCTCTGCGGGCTTCTCTGCGGGTGGGCACTCAGGGACCAGGCCAGGAGACCGGGCGACCAGGCGAGGCGAGCTGAATGGTTGACTAGAAACCTAACAACCCCACACCGAAGGTGAGAAGAGAAAACAGAAACGTTTCGGCGAGAGCCCCTTGCGGTCGTATAGGATGACCCGCTGCATGACCCATCGTATGTATGACCCACTGCATGACCCGCTGCTCGACCGTCCGCCCGTCGTCAATGCAGACCCCAGGCATACGTATTCTTTAATTGCTTTCCAAGGCTTTCTGGACAACCGATGCAGTGCTTGAACTAAGAATACTGGGGAGGTCTGTTTCACCCGTACCTGAAGGTTGTCAAACCACATCTGAGGCTCATGCTCATCAATCACCCCGCCACCAATTGCTGCCTTTCCAAGCTTTGTGATTAACTTTCACTGATTGCTGCGTGTTTTGAGCATTCAGCTCCAGTAACCACGTGCAACAAATTCAGGCATTGCGGCAAGGTGATGGACAGGACACAAAACGGCCGCCACAAACGCACGTACTCTTGTAAACCCTCAGCCCCAAAACCTCAACTAACGCCAACCGTCCAACCATTGCGCCAATTGCCTGCAGTAGCCCGGTTGGCCCTCATGTCACCACGTCACAGCCATGCATGGTCTCCTGCACCTCAGCCTGCTCCCCCCAACGCCGCGCAATGCTCCGCAAAGTTACACGCATCAACCCGAGACCGAGTTCCTGTCTCATCTCAGTGTCTACCTTTCCGTGAGACTACGACCCTTACAATCCTTGCAACCCTTACGGTCCCAACACACCAACACACTCCCGCGGCCTTCAGTTGGAACGTGAAGTGGCCCCCGGTGGCATTCACTGCATCCTCCGAGTTCAGTGTATTGAGGGTGCAAACGATGTAACTATGCTCGTGTGCTACTCCTGATTCAGAGACCCCTAAACCCTAAACCATCCTAAACCCTAAACCCTAAACCCTGAACCCTAAACCCCAAACCCAGAATTGGGGTTATGAGCCAACCTGGGGCCAGACACAGAGGCTGAAGGTTGCCAGGCTGACGGCTCCATTTAACCTTTTCGGGGTTGGCTCAAGCCTTAGGCCTCCCCTCCTATGGGGCTCTGCGGCACCTGATTTACACGCTCTGGGTTCAAAACCCTAAAAACCCTAAAAACCCTAAAACCCTAAACCCTAAACCCTAAACCCTAAGTTCAAGAGCAGCTGCACCGGATGCTGAACCGGGCTCTGCCTCCCACTCCGGGCGGATGCCGTCCTTGAAGATCATCAGCGCCTTAAGGCGAGCAACAGCTTTGGACTCCTCTTCGTGATCTGGAGGTAAGAAGACGTTCGACAAGTTTAGACGTTCGGGCCATGAAGCAAGAGCCGCAATCTTGGCAGCCGAGTGCCGAAAGAGTTGGCATTCGTCGTTGTACAACTCGAGCAGGGGTGCTGAGGTGCAAGCATCCACCACATGGCGCGACTCTTCCTGCTAACTGCGTCTGCTTTGCGAATTTTCAGGCCAAAAGCAATCACGATCAGTACCCCCGAACCGCCAGCGCTAACCTTGACGGGCATTCGAAACCCTGCTGCGGAATAAGATTCTGCCCAAAGGGGATGTTGGTGGATGTTAGAGGAGCCTATTGGATGTTAGCGGGTGTTAAGGGATCTTGGGGGATGTTAGGGGTCTAGGGCTTAAACCTAAGATTTCAGGCTGTTGCCCTTTAACTTTAGTATGCTTTGGATACGCGGAGCTGCACATGTACCTGCAGTCCGTTCCTGAAGCCGGGTTTCTAGGGATTTTGTGGGAGAAGAGTTTAAAGACCTGAGGAGCTTCAAGAATTCAACCTACAAGGCACTTCAGCATATTCAGCAAAAGCAAAGGCCGTCTTCCACGCAAATCAGCTCTCGTAATTCCCTTGAAGATGCAAACCCCCAACGACAGCCCTGACCCAACACTCCCTAAGCCCAAGCAGAGGTGCAGCATGGCGCAGTAGCACCTAGCAACAGCCCTAGACCCGGAGCTGTAAACCCGGAACCCAAATCGCAAGCCCGCAAGCGCCTGAGGACAGGGTGGGGGCCCAAGCGAGTAAACTCACCAAATCTTCTGGCCTTGACCCTCATGAACTTCTTGCCCTCCAGCAGCAACGACGGCTGAGGCATGTGGTTCCAGTACCTGTGCACCGGTACTGACCAGGGCTAGGCCGGGGTGGATGGCTCTTCAAGCTTAAAGCACATTGGGTTTGTTCTTATGAACCTATGCAACGTAGGCAACCTTCGTCAGTTGAACGAGCGATGCGTTGCTACAAGTGGTGCTTTCTTTCACTGCGCGAGCCGCGAGCCACATGCCTGTGACCATCAGCACCGACATATAAATGATAGATCGGATTGTGAGCCTAGAGACTTGTTATTTTCAGGAATGCCGTAGGTCTTTGGAACTATTGGAAGCGCCAGCAAGATGTTGAACTTGGTCTGTTTATGGGGTTGGCGCAACATCCCTGCCGGTGCGGCGGTGGCATGTACATGGGTTGGAGATTGCAGGTGACTGAAAAAACTCAATGAGAGATGTTGACAATTTGCTCCATCGAGGTGATACTACATTACGATGCTTCATCATTCATGACGCGATGGAGACAAAGGAGCTCTGACGTCACTCAAAACCGAACGGGCCCAGCCCCACCCCTTTTTTACCTTTGCTAGTGGCCATGCCCCACCGCCAGCGCTTGTGAACCAGTGCAACCAATCCCTTACAGTGGGGTTTTCGTGAAGATCAGCTAGTTTCATCACAGCCCCGCTATTGTCCGGGATTTGCCCTCACATACCCAAGGCCCCCTCGGTTGCACATGGGGCCCTAAACCCTAAACCCTAAACCCTAAACCTGGCAATACCCACTGCCATCATTCGGGGCTACACCCGCCTCCAGAACTCCTTCGCCGATGCGACGGCGGCCACTCGCTGCGTGGCCTGGGAGTACCTGGCTTGACGTTGGAAAGTCTTGGAGAGCTTCGGGGAGTTTGCTTAGGACTGCAGACCATGTTCTACGGCCACCATGTGGAATTCGAGGACTTCGAATGAACTTTGGTCATGGAACCTGGGGATTTCAATCAAAATCTGAGCCTCTCGCATGCGTAGCATGCTACTTTAGAAGTACTCTTCAATCAGTGAGCTCTGTGGGCATACGAGAGGGGCTCTGGCTCGAGGTTTCGGTTTATTTGGTAGCAAGCCAGTTGTTCTCTCTTTATCAAAAAAGGACACCTCCATCTTCTCATATCTCTACTAGGAAGACCGCTATTCTCCATATGTAATAAGAAACATCTATCTTGTTTGTATTCTATCAGGAAAACCAGAAACCCATGCATTTTCTTTCCATTTTAGGACAAAAACCCCTATTGTATCTATTTCTAAAAGGTGGACCTGCATTTCAATAGGACAACCTGTCAGGCCCCCCAGTTGCAAACACAATTCCTGCCTTCCTTCCTTCCTTCCTTCCTTCCCTCCCTCCCCTCCCTCCTTCCTTCCTCTTCTACCTTACCGTGGTTGCTTGCCTGAACGAAAAAGGATTCTACAAAAAAGATCAGGCAAAAGGCAATTGAGATTTTCCAGTAAAAAGCCGAGAAAATGGAGGTTTTCCGATTAGCCTATTAAGGAAAATGGTGGTCTTCTTGTTGCAATAGCTTGCGAAAACAAAGTCGAAAAAATTCTCCAAGAAAACATATCTCCGAGAAGACTCTGAGAATCACATTGCGGACGGAGCGCTGAGAGCTGTCCTTCTGCGCTGCGGAGAGGCCCAGTTGCTCCTTGGCTGGTTAGCTTTAGAGGTTCTAAGAGTATAGGGTTTAGGGTGTAGGGTGTAGAGTTTAGAGTTTAGGTTTAGGGTTTAGGGTTTAGGGTTTAGGGTTCAGGGTTTAGGGTTTAGGGTTTCGGGTTTCGGGTTTAGGGTTTAGGGTTTAGGGGGCTGAGGAACGTGACATGGCTGCTAGGGTGGAGTTTCTTCCCCGCACTACATGGTGCTTGTTTTTTTTGGCCGCACCCGCCCGTCCGCTCAAGGGCCTACGCGGGCCTACGCGGGCTTTACTGCGATGATCAGATTTCCCAACTCCTTTACTTGGTGGACGCCTGCTTTCGGCTTCAAGGCCTTTTTTTGTCGAGTGCTTGAGGGCCTCCGGCCTAAAGTTCTGGACGGATCCCGAGCATCTAAATCCCTAAGCCCTGCAGCACCTGAGCGCCCGAACCCACAGCACCCACTTTGTGCGCAGAGCTTGGTCCTGCGTAGTGGAGAAGGAGACTTTTCGGATTCAGGACTGCTCTTAAGGTTCCGGCTTTCAGGTAAGTCGATGGGCCTAGGTGATACCCTGCAAGTTACCCAGACTGGCAAACTGCCAAGATCCAGGAATGGACATGCTTGCTTGCACATGAAAGCACATGAAAAAGAGTCAAGCCAAACCGAACAGGCCTTGTCCGATGTGCGGTACTCGTTCGACCTGGCACATGCATCCTGACACCAGCTAGTTTTAACTCTCCAGTGGTACGAGTTTCAGGTGTCTCGGCACGATTTTCAACTTTGGCAAGTAGCCATATGATCAATTCCATTCTGGCGGTCATCGGGTGGTCCTATAACATGACTCGCCAGATTCACAGCATCCGTGATCGACATCGAGACCTCAATCCCCACACTAAAGCCGAAACCCTGCCAAAGGGCCCAGCCCTCGTCCCCAGAACCTAATCTCTGAATCTTTGGCCCTCGGTTAACGCCGACCACCCATGCCCAATAACTCAAATTCTCAAGCTCCAAGAAAGTCGCAATAACTTCATTGCTCAACTGCTTTGTCTCCTCTTCTACGGGCCAGGTTACAAGTAGGGTCCCAGTGGGTTAACGTCTGCATGAACCACTGGTCCTGCATGAGAACATGCCCCCTGTCATACCTTCCCAGGACTACAGCCTCTGCTTGTGGGCCCATATGTTGAATACTGCATCCTTACCGACGCTAGCTGCAGCAAAGCCTGCCAGCCTCATGACTGTACTGAGCAAGTGTATGTCTAAGTTTTTGTGGCTTCAGAATCAAGAACATGCCGGCTTATCTCGAGATAGTCGTCAATGAGCGGAGAAACGGCAGTGTTGAAGCTGAGGAAGGGCCTCAACGGTCCAGGCAGGTGGGCTAGATAAGCTGAGAGCCACCAGTGTCAACAAAGCATAATGTTGCACCCGCAATATTCTAGGGGGACGCTATTATGAAAAGTTTTCCGGCTATTCAGGATCTGGACCCTTTGTTTTGGGGGTCCGCAATAATGAAAAGATTTCGGGCCGGGCCTGTTTTTTTAAATGGTTTTTGAGTCAAGTTCCCAGATCCCAAACTAAGAAGAGAGCTCATTTCTCTGCCCCCCCCCCCCCCCCCCCGACTGTTTGGGGTCTTGTTTTATTCAGGGTCGCGACTGTTGAGGGGGGGGGGGGGTTACATTCTTAAAGCAGGTCCAACATTATGGGCAGTTCTCCAAATCGTGGTCTGTTTTTGGGGGGAGGAGGGGGTCATCTATCCTACGGACCCTTTTTCTATTTACCGGAAAGTACACCTATGGACCCGTAAGGTAGATCAAGCCCCACCATCTTGCTCGTATTTCCAGGTTGGAGAGAGGTTGAAAAAGGCAACAGAGCTCCTAAGAGAGGTCTTGTACGTGGGCAGGCGGCTTCGGACGCGAGTTGGCTCCCTCTACAGGCATCAGGGCAAAAATGCCATTAGAGATTGGACAAGCGAGAGAACCAAGTGGCAACAAAGCTGATAGCTTGAGCCCTCCCTTCAAGAAACTGTGCATATGCATGGTGCCGCATCCAGCCTTCCTTCTGCAGTGGTGGCAAGGTTTTAGAATTGCTGCATCTCAGGAGCGAAACCCTAGCCGAGTGCTGAAACCCCCAAGTTCCAACATGCGGGTTTACGAAAATCAGGGACCTTAATTTATAGACCTCCAAGTAGTAGGACCCCCCCTTATCATAAGGACACCAAGAAGGTACTCCTAATATCGTAAACCCCCCACATGGGAAAAGCTCAGGCTGGAGGTAGGTGCGGGGCACGAGATCCGGTGCCGCCTCTTGCATCTTGAGCTTCGTCGCAACCTTGGGGCCAACTCGGCCTAAGGCCAAACCACCTACGCTGAATCAAAGAAACCTTGAGCCCCAAATCTGCCCAAAGCAAAACCGCTCCAGACTCTTTTTCCTAAAGACTAAATGCAGCCGGCCCTTCCTTGGGGTTGCTGAGGCTTCGAGAGGCCTCTGATTTCTCTCGCTCCAAAATCCGCAAATTGCACGGCTGAAAACTCATGGAAGTCTTCAACACCCAACCAGATGCCTAAATCCTAAACCCCAAACCCAAAACCCCAAACCCGAAACCCTAAACCCCCGCTACGAGGGCTCGGCAAGGTGACCTCCAAACTGCGGCTCGGGGAAGGTCTAAAGCTTGAGCCAATGGCGGGGGGCGGTGTCGGAGACTTTCGGACTTAGGAAATACCCCTAAACCCTAAACCCTAAACCCTCGACCCTAAACCCAGTAGATACAGCTCATACGACCTCGACTTGAGGTCGGGTTTACCCATCGGGGTTTGGAAATTCAACAGGTCAGGGGAGCGGATTCAAGGCGGAGGCGTCACCAACAGCAGGTTGAACGACCCTGATAAAACCCCTGTCGGGTTTAGGGTTTAGGGTTTAGGGTTTACGGTTTAGGGTTTAGGGTTTAGGGTTTAGGGTTTAGGGTTGGGGGACTCTCGACTTGCAAGTTCGCTCGGGGGGTTCCGGTCCTTGGGGCCATGGCCCCGGGTGGTTTTAGGACCAACACACCTTTCACAGGTTGAGGTTTTCCGGCCTAGGCCTGTGTCAAGGAATCATGGTAGACTTTGCTGTTGACGGTCTTGGCAGGGTCCCAAGATGTCACCGACGTAACACAGATAAACGAAGACTAAGCACTGCACCGAACAAAGATGTAAGCAATTAGAAAGCACTTAGCACAATCAATGAGACCTTGTAGAGGCAAAGGATGTACTGACACCGAAACAAAACACACAAGTCACAAAACACGAAGCCCAAGAGACTTTCGCATTCTCCGGCGCCGCACAGCGGCTCTATACGTGGGCAACAGAAAACCACCGCTTGGGGGACTGATGCACCTAGCTCATGCACG